CTCCTGTCACACTGTCCGAGGCATCTCATCCAGCAAGAGCCTTTCAGAAAAGAGCCGGCTGCCTCAAACTCCAGAATGAGATGCAGCAGGCGACGGTATTTGCACAATACTACACAGGAGCTGCTGCCATCTGGACTGACACTACCTGCCAATCAACAGTGGACATTTTGTTTTACCCAGTGAGCAGTGCTAGACTCACTGGCACAGGCCCAGACGCCAACCCTAGTGCCCATTACAAAGCATCTGCCAGCAGGAACAACCTCCCATGGTCTGACTGGTATAAAGTAGATTGAGTGCAAGCATCGCAGTAATCTATAAAAAAATATGCAATTGAGATATAAATATGAAAGTATTTCAAGTTATGAAACAGTTGTTTATGGTTCTGAGTACAATTTGTCTATTGCAACTAAATAAGGTTCTATGTTAATGCAACTTGACCTCTTTAGTTTAATCTTGTGTAAAAACTTAAATGATTTTAAGTGCCCCATTATGCTTTTTCGGATGTTACCTTTGAAGTATAATATAGGTGTTTGTGAATGTAAAACGTCTGCACAGTTTCAAAGACGCTGTTTTCTGCGCTGTCAAAGTAAATCCACTTTGCATGCACTTCCAAACGATGAGGAGACCAATCAGGCTCTCGAAAAGGAGGGATTTAGAGAAACAAAATCCTTTATCGAACCGTTTTAGGCACTGTGAGAAACAAGAGGATACTGTAATGTATATAATGAAATAATTAAAGTGTTTTCTGACCTTGGATGCATGTAAACCCATTGTAGGAGACCTCCAAGACAAAATTAGGAATGTTTAAATAGCATAATAGGGGCACTCTAAGGCAATTTACTAGTAAAGCCAACTAATTCAGGCTCCGACTGCAGGTTACTGGGTTGTGATTAGGGTAAAAGTATCGGTTCAGGCACCGGTACCGTTTTAAAAGTATCGATTTGGCACCGGTATCGTAAAAAAACAAAAACGAACAGAAAACGATACCCAACCCTAGTTGTGATGCATACAAAAAGAGTTTTTAAATAAGAACTAAATCACTGGACTTGCCATGTTAGTGACAACATTTTCTCAGAATTGAGGCACTTTGCAGAAGGTAAACTAGACAACCACAAGCAAAATTGTATATTCTACTTTGAGTTATGTCTGTGAGATAATAAGTAGCCTACTTATGGTACTTTTTAGGTTTGAAAAGATTCTGATGTACATACATTTCTGCACTATTTTTCTGTACAGCCATTTATGGTCTAACACTACTGTGCCAATTTTTTCTAAGCTGGTTTTTGCAGCAAAATGCAGGCCTTATGCTGAGAGTCTGGCAACACGAGACTAGTCAGACTACCACTGTGTGGTCAACAATACTTGGTCAATCTGACCCATTGCGAATCTGGGCATTTGCAAGTAGAAAAGCGTCCAGCGTGGGAACGGCCATGTAACATCCAGGAGCCAGTTGTTTCTGAGTCAGCTGCTCTATGCCACGGTAGGAATTTCCAACCACTAATGATTATTCAGTTCAATCCAGTGGTCAGAAACAGACACTTGGAATAACAGCAGAACGGAGAGGAGCTGTGGCTCTACCTCATTGTTATTACTTTGAGAGTGGCCATTTTGAGGAGATGCCACTGATAGGATGGTAATAAAGTGATGTTTTTTTGTTGTTTTTTTAAATGTACCGAGTATACGATCTGAAAATACTGATCCATCAGAGTGAAATCCAGACCTTCAGTTATAAACAGGGGAGAGGACAGACAGTTTGGTTTTTATAGAAAAGAACATAAGGACGAGCTACTGCCCATCAGAAATGACTGTAAGCTAATGTTTATTCAAATTCAAAAGGTTTTGATATATAAAAAAATGATCTCAAATACTTATCCAGATTAGTTGAATAATCACAGTATATAATGTAGCCCGATTGAGAAATCAGTGTCCAAAAATTTATGAAAATACCATGTTTTTTTTTTTTTACGCTATCTGATACACTGTAAAATTACATTATTTTGAAAAGACAGTAAAATGCTACAGTAAAAATCCTTTTAAATAACTGTAAAATACTTTACCATACAAAAAAAATGTAAACGGTTTAACATCACATTAAATGTACTTTAAATTTTACTGTAATTTTTACCATATAATTTCGATGAAAAAGTTTAGTGTATATATTTTTTTACCACCAATATTATTATAATGGTTATCAGTACAAGGTAAAAGGTATTTTAATATTAGCATTACATTACTTGATTAACATTTCAGTTATAACCTGTAAAATATACAGGCACCGATATACCATCCTGTAATACCAGAAATACTATCACTGTATGTTTTATGGCGAGTTTTTGGCAACCACAGCTGCCACTTTACCCACCACTTTACCATACATTTATCAAGATATTTTTTACATTGAAGGAAAATAAATAAAAATTAACTTATAGAAAGTTGTGTTTTGCCCCTGTTTCTTGGGGGAATAATGGGTTCTTTGGTTTTTAAATAGACAATAGATAAGTTATATGCTTGAGTTCTTGAAGTCAAATGTATTTCTTTACTGGCTGTGGTTATTGATTTCCTCAAAATGGCTTCTCTGCCTCCTCTCAAAGCTTTCTGAACCAAACATCAGCAGAAAGAGACTAATAAATAATCCTGCGGTGTTTCTGACAAACCATAATCATCAGTCTCATGATCAAACTGAAATCCCAGCGCAGATATGCAATGCAGTCGGAGGGAAAAGTGGCACAGCGCACATAACAGTAAATTAATTCCACACCAGCGCTTACATAACCAGCGTGGCCTCAGACAAACTATGCCAGCATGAATATGTAATTCATCTCAAAAGTGCAGAGATGGTGAACCACGCAGGAGCCGCAATGAGAAAAAAGACAACCTTGGAGCTGGTCGTGAAACTTGCAAACACGCCACAGCGAGACCAGCCGCAAGAGGATGTGGACATACACACACTGTCCCAACAGATTCCAGCCAAGCTCAGACGGAGAGGAAAAGAGTGGCATGGAAAGTTGTGATTCAGTGAAGTCAGCTGAGACTGACTCGACGGTAATGAGCTCCCCCTTTGTATATATACGTCTGCAGGAAGCTACAGCCTTATATAAACACTTGGCACATAAAGGCATCTCATAAATGGAAACAGTAAAGTGATGAGAGGAGATGGTACGAGGTGTTTTGGAGAACCTAAACCTGTGAGGCACAGCTAGACAGCACATTCTGTCCTTACAGAGACAGTGAGCTGACGGCATTTACTAAGGCTGTATTTCAGAGCCCTGTAACATATGAGAGTGATTTAACTCATCTATTATTTTCCGACTCACTGACGCAAGCACCTTTCCACCCCCCTAGGTGATCTCATCTGGAGTGGAGTCTGGACGCTGCTGACACGCAGTAACGGGCCGCTCTATTTCAGGCTTTTTCAGCAAGAATGTGCCACGAGCTGAGTCACATCCACATTAAACACAAACGAGAATCTCAATATACTTGGGGGCGCTTCAATCTAAACTTCATCCCATTCGAAAAACGAAATGTCAATAGATCAGGCTGCTTGCTGTGCAAGAAGCTTAGTAGTGTTTGAGTAGTTTGAAGAAGCTTTGTATAAGCACTCGGCAAGGAGTGATTGGAGTGGGTGTGTGTTTGTGTGTGTGTGCGTGTGTGTGTATGTTGGACGTTCCAATCTAGGCCAGTTGTTCATACATCAACTTTTTTATTTCACATTCACAATAAAGCAAACAAAAAAACTCCAAAAGGGAGTTTTCTCCAATATTCCAGAAGAACCATTTTGGGTTCCCCAAATAACCTTTCAGTGCACAGTTCTTAAAAGAACCATTTTTTCTTAGTGTAAAAAACCTTTTGCACTTTTTCCACTAAAGACACTTTTGTGCAACGGAAAGGTTCCATTGATGGTTCTTCATGGAACAATATATGCTAATGAAGAACTTATGTTTAAGGGTGTACTTCCGAAACACTGCTTTTCAACAATGTAAAAGTCCACAAAACAAAGATAAAACAGCTTAACCAAGTTCTGTAAATCAATCAATTCACAAGGCCCTGCTCTCTCTCTCTCTCTCTCTCTCTCTCTCTCTCTCTCTCTCTCTCTCTCTCTCTCTCTCTCTCTCTCTCTCTCTCTCTCTCTCTCTCTCTCTCTCTCTCTCTCTCTCTCTCTCTCTCTCTCTCTCTCTCTCTCTCTCTCTCTCTCTCTCTCTCTCTCTCTCTCTCTCTCTCTCTCTCTCTCTCTCTCTCTCTCTCTCTCTCTCTCTCTCTCTCTCTCTCTCTCTCTCTCTCTCTCTCTCTCTCTCTCTCTCTCTCTCTCTCTCTCTCTCTCTCACACACACACACACACACAGAGCTCAACAAACTCTTTACAACAGACATAAATACCTATAGAGAACAACAAAACACAAAAGAGATCTCACTTGTCTCCTAGACAAGAATGACATTAAAATGAGAGCAAATGGAGACTTTTGTTTAAGCCTCATGCTTCTTAGATATTTCTCCTGCAAGAAAAAGCCCCCAAGATAGAAAGTCTGCAATAGTTATAAATCTCAATATAAACTTTGTCAAATTCTTCCAGTATCAATGATGTAAGCTTTTGTTGTCCACATGCACATCTTATAGCTCTTTATTCTTACTGTACATATAGGAATTTCAGGAGAAACATATATAGAAAAAGTTGATACTTAAATGAAACATAACTGAGATCTCTATTATGCTCTCAGAGAACAATAAAAATCCCTTCGAGTAGCAGAGCCAACTTGCTCTACCCTCAAAACAACACATTATGATTAACTTTGTGCCATGCAGTCGTTCTCACACAGATCTCTCTTCAGAAGAGAGCACTAACACTGCTCCAAAACTTCAAAGAGCTTCTTCTCACCCCAGTGTGATCAGCTTTAAGAAAGTTAATCATTCATTTCACATCACTTCAAAGCTCTTGTGAGCTGCAGTGGTAATCTGAACTCTCGTGCATTCAGAGTGTAATAAATACAGTCGTGTTGCTGACATACCCATAGTGCTCTGCATGGCTGCCTCCTCGCGTCTTCCCCCACTCTGTCCTGGAGGTACAATCCCAGTCTGCTTCTTCTCTTTCTCTATCTTTCTTTCTCTCTGCTCCTCTGCCTCATGCCAAAGTTTCCTCTCTTTTCTCTGGTAGAAACCCCCTTCTCCTCTGTCCTGTCCTGTCCTCTCTTTCCCTGCTGTTTGCCGCCACAGCACCGCCCCCTTCTCCTGCAACCCTCCTCCCTCTCTCACTTTGTCTGTGGCCCTTTCCTCCTCCACTACCCCCATCCTCACACACATTTAATCCCTCCTCATGCTCACTCCCTCTCTTTTTCCTCGTCTTTCCTCTACCTTTTCCTTTTCTTCATCTCTGTCAACTATTTTCTGTGGAAAATGGAAGGACTGTCATCCTGTTTTCAAATCTGACCCTCAGCAGCTGCTTTAATCCTATTTCTAAGGTCTCTAAATTATCATCAACATGATCAAAACTTTGCTGAAAAAAAAAAGGGTTGCACACAATATTCGGCATGCCTTCTGGTATCGGATTGATACTTCATACTCTTTTATTTAGTAAAACGCATTTTATTAATTCTAAAAAATTAAGGTCGTAAGTCATGCCTTTTTTCTGTGAAATCTTTAATGATTTTTAGAAAGTAAATGTAAGAATGACTAAGAATATATTGTTAGTTTATAGAATATATAGTAAATATTGTTAATACAACATTGTTAGTAATATTTCAAGGTGAACACTTCCTGGACTGAAACCACTTAGGTTTAGTTAATTACATTTTTTTTTTTTGGAAGAATAATGTTAAAATGTAAGTATAAAATATGGTAAATAAGGTTTTTGAGGAACGTTTGTTTGTATATCTCTCAATCATCATAGTACTAGTGAACTGCATTATATATGTTTTGCCCCAACACTAAAAACTACAGAGCTTTGATCATAAAACTATAAGCATTTTAATATCATCTTACTAAGACATATTATTGGGAGATACATAAAATGCCTGTAAATATCAGTTGTCACTCAAGTAGTTTGTTATATTGTTATACAGATCTCTTTACAAGTTGAATCCCATCTTACATTTTGACCATATATATCAGCAACAGCACCAAATTGCATGTTTTTTGCTCAGTTTGGGCTTCTGAATAAAACTGATGTGTTTTTTCTCAAATATGAGCTCCATATTCTCCTATATCATACTATATGAGCATCTTTGTGGGGACATTTTGACCCCATAATGTAGGTTATACCTGAACCAACCACACACACACACACACACACACACACACAAGAGCATAGTAAACACACTCCATCACCAAAATTACACACACCCAGTGCACCACAAAGGGTCTGTTGTGCCATATGACATCACAATGAAACTTTCAAGCAAAGTGATCAAAGGAACACTTTGTAAAGAGGACAAGAACAGAAAACCAAATTTGGGTGTTTTTTAAGGTTTTTTTTTTTACTATATGGACATATTTGGCTCTGTGTACTTTTATATAAATGTACTTGTCACATTTTTACTAGTTTAATTAGTCTATTAACAATGTCCATCAGTGGTCAACCATGCTTCACAGGACAATGCAGCCTTTTAAACATTTTTAGGAACTTGTATTAAAATTTGTATGAACCAACAAATGAGATGAAAATGACGGTGATGGAAACAACATGCTTGTTTATTCCCTGTTCATTTGTTACCTTGGTTATTATAGGTTTTATAATTAGTATCACGTCGCTGTTCCGTGTTTTATCCCTTACTTTTTATGTGTATTTATAGCCCTGTGTTTCAGTTCTTGGTTGTCCGTTTTTGTTGTTGCTTTGATGGTTTGGTTTTTCATTCCATTCAGGAATAAATTACCTTTTATATATGTATATATATATTAAAATAGAAAACAGTAAATTGTAATAATATTTCACAATATTACGGTTTTACTGTATTTTTTTTAGCCTTGGAGAGCATTAAAGGGTTAGTTCACCCAAAAATGAAAATGATGTCATTAATGACTCACCCTCATGTCGTTCTAAGCCCGTAAGACCTCCGTTCATCTTCGGAACACAGTTTAAGATATTTTAGATTTAGTCCGAGAGCTTTCTGTCCCTCCATTGAAAATGTATGTACGGTACACTGTCCTTGTCCAGAAAGGAAATAAAGACATCATCAAAGTAGTCCATGTGACATCAGTGGGTTAGTTAGAATTTTTTGAAGCATCGAAAATACATTTTGGTCCAAAAATAACAAAAACTACGACTTTATTCAGCATTGTATTGTCTTTCGGTTCTGTTGGCGAGCCATTTTTTAAATGTGCACGACCCTAAACTTTTACTGTATGTATATATACTGTAGATAAAAGACATCTGAAAAGTAGCAAAAATAGTTTCAATGTAACCTAAAAGTACAAACATTCTAATGCAAATCAATCCCTGGGACACAGAAATGCTGTATTTGAAGAATCAGCCATTTATCTAAAGGGTTGCCTTTCAATGAAACTTATTCACTGGTTCTTCCCTTTCAATCGTTTACCACTTCACTCCCTCATTTACTGGCCATTCCCAAACAAAAGCAAGGAAGCATGACGTGTTACTCCTAACCTGCATGCGCAGAGAACAGTAAATACACGGACACAGAGTAGTGTGGGACTCTCGAGTGAAGTGAAAAGGAGAAAAGGAGGCATGAGAGAGGCAGAGAAAAAGACAGAGAGAGGCAGGGAGGAAGGAGAGCTAATGAAGCGTTAGGAACAGATGAGCATCTGAGTGATTAATGGACACTTGCCCTCCAGGGGAGTTATCATATGAACATACACTCCACATATACTCACTGGGGAGGCTTAACTTGATACTCCCAACTACAGTGCACACACATATCTCAAAGCACATCCGGTCGACAGTATTCTCCATACTGGAGCGACAGCACATGCACGAATGCTTACAGACCTTGCTTGGTGGTAGTAACGGATTATTTAGTCGTTGTCAGGCGGAAACCTTGTATCTCCATATTTTCTTTTGGCCACCCTTTACATCTGTCTGTGGGTTTTGCAAACATTTAACCAATGAAAAGTATTAAAAACAGCTTATAAACCTAAACCTCGTAACTCCATTGGACCTCCATTGCACTTCATCTTGTATAACATGAGATTTTAGCTAATTTACAGAATAAAACTGAGTGCCCATATAGCTACAATAAACTTTATAACCTGTAAATTGTGTAAAATGTAACTGCCACAGTTGGGCCGTTCTAATGACGGAAAAACTGGCATACGCTGGTCAAAAACCTTGTAACTCCATTTGAGCTTGATTTAGGTAAAATGTTAATAATATAATGACACATCAAGACCATACATAAAGACACAATATAAACTTTGACAACACAGTGTTTAATTATTTAAAAAATAGTTTTTTTTTCCCCCATTTCCTGAAAAGTAGTGTTTTTTCACCCTACAGTGACTACATGTAATCTGGATTATGTAATCAGATTCCAAAAATTAAATACATGTAATTAGATTTTTTTTCTTCAATTCTCATAATCAGACTACAATTTAAATTAATTACTTAATATAAAAAAAATGGCAGTAAATTATTCATAATTCATTGGCTCTCACTAATTCTTCTTTTCTAACTTTTATATATTCCTTTCTAAAAAAAAAAAGAAAAAAAAAGGCTATTGCTTATATCTGGAAAGTTTTGTGGAATTGCACACACAAACCAGCCAATAGTCAGGTGCCTATAATTAAACAAAATTGAGAGGCCACAGAGCATATTTTTTTAGTAAGTGTTTTATTTTTTATTTTTCAAATGATTTATTCCTTTTAATTGAACATTTTTAAGATTTAATTCATTATTAACTTTTCATCAATTTACGAACCCCCTGCATTTCCTTTACAACCCCCAGTTTGGAAACCCTGATGGAATGTATTGATTAATTTATTTCATGTTGTTGATAACAAAGAATGAAATTCTTTTTGTATTTGTATATCAATATTGGACAAGATTATCCTAACGTAATCTAAAAGTAGTCTGATTACAATATATTAGCTGAAATGTGTAATGTTAAAGATTACTCTTACAAACTAAAATTTGTATCATGTCATTTTTGGACTATAATTTGTAAGTAATCTACCCAGCACTGCTTACAAAACACCCTGGACATGACCTAGGGAGTAAACTTTATCATTCTCATTTCATTTTTATCATTTCACGTTTATTGTCATTGTCATCCAGAGAACAACAACGAAATTGTGTTTGGAGCATGCAACAACCGTACATGGTGTCTAAAAAACATGGTGAAAACTTTGTTTCTTCCAGTACTGTACTGGTTAAAGCTGTTGTTAGCGGGATAATGAAAAGCCTTGATTAAGTATGAATGGGGGCAAGGGGAATTCTCAATCCCCCCCAAACTTCCCAGTCCCGCTGTCTCTTTTCAATTCAGAGGGGAAGAACTGGAACGGAATGGAGTTGGTTAGGAAAGGGAGAGAAAATTAATGATAGTGAAGGACAAAAGACTGAACATGAACCTAATCCCCCTTCCATCCCCCACATACACACACACACATTGATTTGATCAAGCATGCACACACACACATGCAGATGGACACAAAATGAGAGGTCCTCAAAACCTCCAACAAAACACTTGACCCTTCATCTACTAAGAGAGGGAGAGACCTAGAGAAAAGAAGGGACAAAAACACAAAACAACTGTTGAGTGCCATGGGGTTGTGGTGGGGGCTCTGTGAAATGTATTGCTAAAATGAGTAGAACTCCACTGATATCTGCAGATTCAGGTACCGTCACTCAGAAAATGTGACATTTTAATTGTTTTCAGTTGCAATAATACTGCTCTGTTACACATTTTACAATGTTTAAAGTCAGCCTGAACCTTTCTAAATGCATTTACTGGGCATGATTCATCAGTTAGTGTACTTTATTCCTAAAAAAAGTCTCTCTTTGTAATCTTTGATCATGATGTAATAACATTCTTTGCCTCTAAACCATATTTGGCATCAGTTTTTGAACCCGACCACTCCACCCACTTGTCACATTTAAACCATGTTTCACAACCCAATCAAATTTCCAGAGGACTGACAAAGACTCACAGTAAGTTTGTTTATAATCAAGTTGCCCTTACGAAAAAAGAAGTATACTGTAGTTCATATTAAGTATACTTAAGTAATGTTCAAGTATATTTTTAAGTATAC